GTCCCTGCAGTCCTAGACACCCGAGGTGAGGCGTGTGGCAGGCCCGCCCTCCTCGTGGCCGCCTCCTTACCTGGCTGCCCTCTGTCCCGGGGAGCCCAGGCGGTCCTAACCGCGCCCTCTGGGCGGCTGCACACCCACCCGGCCGGCCCCGCGCCGGGTCCCAGCAAGGGCCCGCTGACCCTGTGCTCGCACTCAGCTTCCTGGAGGCTCTCCTTTACACACTGTGGTCCTGATCTGGTCCGTCTGCTGCTGCTGCAGCGTCCGTGAGTCGGTCCAGGTGATGGTAGTTACTGCTGCTCCAGCTGACAGCCGACTCAAGAAGGGGAATGGAGATGGCTGGTTCCTATAAAGGAAGAGGATTGAGGGAAAAAAACATTCATCGCCTTTTCCTTAGAAAACAAGGGAAAGACATCTTTCCATCTCTAATAGCAATAGTTGACATTTATCAAGCAGTTCCTGTGTGCCAGATGCGGTTGTGAGCACTGCTTGTATCTTTGCTCATAATAACCCTCTGGGGAAGACAGTGAGGTGCATATGGGTCCTGTGGCTTCTAAGATGTGGAGCCAGGATCTGACACTGGCCATCGGCTTCCAGAGTTTGTTCTCCTAAGGCTGCCCTGAGCTTCCTGGTGCTGGCGCAGCGTTTGTCCCACACTTGTGGCCCATTAGGTTTTTTATTGACTGGTGATCGCACGCTTACTTAAATGAGAATTGAGTTACATTGCAGAGTTACAGTATACCCACGCTGGCTTACATCTGCCGGAATGACAGGTCAGGTGAGGGTGCATCTAAGTTTGCTGTTAGGGAATTAAGTGTATGACAAAGATGGCCTTTCAAAGCACTCATTAAAAATAGGTTTTTCACTGAAAGGTGCCGAAAGATCTGGCTGGCCTTTACAAAAAAGAGGAGAGTTGTGTTCTTTGTATTTCTTACTCCTTACATCAAAAAGGAGTTTCAAGTGGATGAAAGTTTTAAATATAAACCATAAAGTATGAAACCATGGATGTGCTGAGAGGAGGTGCGGGTAAACGTACGTCTAAACTTAGAGTAGGAAGTGTCTTTCTAAAGATAAACAAAACCCAGAGCCATAAAAGAAGGGTGACAAGGTTAGGTTATTTTAAAAACACCAGCAACAACCAAAAACTAGGGGCAGAAAGTTTCATAGAGAAAGGAGGCCCCACTTGGTAACTTAAGCATCCCTGGTGATTCTCACCCCCTTGGAGGTCTTAGAGCAGCTGGGACAGAGGACACTTCCCAGCCATTGGAGTGGGAAGAGGGGGACTTTTAATTTTACCTTTTTTTATGTGTCGTTTTTCTCGTATTTGTGCTGTTATATTTTAGAAAGTTACAAGCAATAAAAAAGACTGATCAAAATCAAACCTGGCGAGGTGGTGGAGACACATTTTCAGCAGATCTATAGAATGTTCTAGAAGTTTAGTGTTTCTGAGCATTAGTCTCCGTTAGTGTGTACGGTGCTTGTTGACCTCAACTGGTAGTTGAATTTAAAACTTTCTTTCATCCTAAGAGCCCAGAAGCTGGTGAGCAAGGCACCGGCAGAAGCCAGACAGCCCTCGGGTCTATGCATAGGAATTCTGGGGGTGCTTGGGTTTAGGTGATTGGATTGAGATTGAACTAGGTCACTCGCTTATCCCCGTCTCGGCTCCCACACTCGTGCCTGCAGAGAGAGAACGTCTCCCAGGGACACACCTGGCTAGAAGGACCGTCGGTGAGAGCGGCTGTCCCCTCTCCTGTGTTCTCCCTTGAAGCTCACCCAAAGCTGAGTCCTTGGTGGTCCTTCTTCCCCCTCCTCCCTGTTTCCCTCACCTTCTCTTCCACCTCCTGCATTGCTGGCCACACCTGGCATAAAAGCACACCTGTTCCCAGAGAGACTGTTTATTGTGTGCGCTGCCCTCCCTCTGATAAGGTCCTGTTTGGTCTGGCTCAGCAGAAGCCATTTGGAAAAGTCAACTTCCCTTGTCCTTGCTGACAGACACCTGGATCCAGCCACACCTGGTTTGTGGTTGAAGCCCCGGAACACGAACGACATAGCTCCTTTCCTGGAAGCCATGTTTGTGTGTCTTTGAAGAAGCTCGATGCTCCCTGCAGCTCTTGAAGCGCCTCCCTAACTCTGTCCCTGCACAGATGCGGCTTGGAGGTGAGAGGGCAGTGTCCGGAGGAAGCCGGGCGGATGCCTCATTTCTGCCGCAGGGCCCCACCCCTCCCGACTTCACCCACCTCCAGGAGGCTTTCCAGCTTTGCTCAAGAAACACTGAAATTTGGGGGGGGGGTGTAGCTCAGTGGTAGAGCGCATGCTTAGCATGCATGAGGTCCTGGGTTCAATCCCTAGTACTTCCTCAAAGAATAAATAAGTAAACCTAATTACTTCCACCCACCAAAAACACAAAAACAAACAAAAAAAACTCCACACTTAAATTGGGTGTCACTGGCAGCTCTGTCAAAGGGTGAAAAACCTCTGTTGTTAGAAATCAGATCAAAGTCTTCCTTGGGGAGCGGTGAGAGATGGAGTCTTTCTAGTGTGGTGTGGAAGCCCTGGTATTTGCTGTTGCTGCTTGCAGAGATGGTGATTTCTCAGACTACTGGGGAGGTAGGGGCTATGATTATCCCCATTTTACAGATGAGCAAACGGAAGCAGAAGAGAACCTGTGGCTTGCCCGAGGTCTCCAGCCTGTGTGTGACGGGTTTCTGGGATGGGGCTCGCTCCTGCAAGCCTGGCCCGGGGGTCCGGCCGCACTGCGCAGGGCGCACGTCCCTGGGCTCTGTGGGCGCTACTGACACGGTCTTCTCCACCGACAGAGACAGATTCGCATCTCAAGGAGAACCTGCCACGCCGTTTGGGGGCAGGGTGCCTTCCTGTTGGTTGCGATGGTGGGTGTGGCGTGCCCGAGGGTTGGTAATGCTGTACTGAGGCCTGTGTGTGTGTGTGTGTTTATTCCGCAGATTCTCAGCCCGGCCTCTGAGATGATGGGACTGGGAAACGGGCGTCGGAGCATGAAGTCGCCGCCCCTCCTGCTGGCTGCCCTGGTGGCCTGTGTCATCGTCCTGGGCTTCAACTACTGGATCGCCAGCTCCCGGAGCGTGGATCTCCAGGTGTTCTGTTGGTCTTGTTTGTGAGGATGTCATAGAGTATTTAAAGTTGCTGGGTGGTGGGGTCGGGGTGGGGTCTTAGGAGTTTGCCGTTTGTGGCCACCGAAGGCGGTGTGCGCACTGTAATGCAAGTTTGAGGCTCTGTGTGGCCCCACACCCAGCCCCGGGCCTGACTTCCTAGGATTAAAGCTGGGCCACCCCCTCTGCTTTTCCTGTGAGTTAACAATTTTCGGTTGAGCCTTTTAGGCTGGTTCTGGGAAGACAGCTTGCTTAAGTACAATGCCCACAACCCTGGTCCTGGGTTCTGGTCCTCCAGCCCACACTTGATAGCAGAGAGTGACGTTGGAAATGTGTTTGGATAATGGGTGTGAGAAATGTGTTTTTAGCGGGGTGGGTACAGCTCAGTGGTAGAATGCGTGCTTAGCATGCCCCAGGGCCTGGGTTCAATCCCCAGTACCTCCACTTAAAAACGACAATAACAGCAAAAACCAAAACCCAAAAGAAATATTTTTAGAGGTACCAATCTTTGTCACCATCATTTACTGGTAATGGCAATTTTAGTGTTCCCATTTTTGGCTGCCTGGCATGGGTCTGGCAGTGTCGCTCAGAACGGGGGCTCTCCTTGACCTCACCCTCGACAGGCGCCGTCTTCCTGACCAGGCCTCCGTCTTGGTCCCCCATCCTGGTTTTGGCCTGCCCAGCCCGGCTTAGCAAAGAGTCCTGCTGGCTCCTCCCTCCACCCCCGATGGCTGAGCAGGCTCCTGGTCCCTGGTGTCTCTCGTCATTGATGCCTTGCCTTTAGCAAGACTCCCCCTGCCCTGTTAGTACCTTCCCCGCACTGACCCCTCCCTCTGCTTGTTGGCTGGCAGTCCTCAGCTGTCGTTGCTGCGCTCAGAGTTGAGAACAGTTTGACTGTTCTGACCCCTGTTGCAGTCGACTTGAAGGAGGTTTTCCTTACCCGTTTCACGAGCGTCAGAACAACTCTCATTGGAGAGTACGTTGCATACATCATCTTTTGCACACAGACTGTCAGGCTGGGGCTTAGTGTTCCCCGTTTCACAGGTGGACAGACTGAGGCACAGAGAGGTTACGTCTGGGGGGTAGCTGGGGTTCCCACCCAGTCTTTGTGATGGCAGGGCCTCAGCCGTGGAAGCGCACCCCGTCACAGTGCTCCATCCCCCTCCGGCTTCCCTGCCCACTGTGTAGTGCCTGAGCTTTCACTGAGCCCTGAATGTGTGTTCAGAAGTTGTGTCCTATAAACAGTGGTTAAGTGCTCTGTTACGAGGAAACGGAACTAAATATTTGAGCACCAGCTCACGTCAGGTGTTTGTAGCGAAGGCATTTTATGTACAGGCACACCTTGGTGATACGGTGGTTCCAGACGCCACAGTAAAGCAAATGCGCAATAGAGTGAGTCACATGGTTTTTTAAATTGTTTTTCTAGGGCATAAAAAGTTATATTTCCACTATACTGTAGTCTGTTATGTGTTCAGTAGTGTTATGTCTTAAAAAATATACATACCTTAATTTATTAGCACCACGCTCTAACCAACTGAGCTAACCGGCCCTCCTGCTACCTTAGTTTAAAAATACTTTATTGCTAAAAAAAAAAAAAGTTGCCAATCATCACCTGAGCCTTCAGCCGGATTTGGGAGTAAGTAACCTCAAAGACCACGATCGCAGATCACCATGACAAATATAGTAATAACAAAAATCCTTGGAATATTGTGAGAATTATCTGAATGTGACCCAGAGACACGAAATGAGCAGGTGCTGTTGGAAAGTGGTGCTGATAGGCTTGCTCCTTGCACGGTTGCCACAAACCTTTGATCCTTAACGCAGTATCTGCAAAGCACGATAAATCGAGGTGTGCCTGTACGTACCTCATTCAAGCCTCACAAAATCCCTGCGAGGGGTGTGGTGGCGTTTCCGTGGAGACCCAGATGCCCCGATAAGTGAATTCCTCCACATGCAGCCCCGTCTCTCTAGACTAACCTGTGGGACCTTTTGCACAGTTGACCTGAAGACCGAGCCCTGGGGACTCACCGTGCAGGCGGGACACACTTGTCTGAGGCTCGATGCGGTTCGGGGCCCCGGTGTGGTCCTTGCTGAGGGAGGCAGGCGGGCGGCCAGGGCTGGGGGCGGCCTGACGTGGTCCTCACACTGCGATGTCCTTGCAGACACGGATCTTGGAGCTGGAAGGCAGGGTCCGCAGGGCGGCCGCGGAGCGAGGGGCCGTGGAGATGAAGAAGAACGAGTTCCAGGGGGAGCTGGAGAAGCAGCGGGAGCAGCTGGACAAGATCCAGTCCAGCCACAACTTTCAGATGGAGAGCGTCAACAAGCTGTACCAGGATGAGAAGGCAAGGCCTGCTCGGGTTTCCCCTTAATTCTAAGTACCGTTTGTACCCTGTCTAGCATACCCGCTCCTCAGTGGGAGCATAAGCAGCTGTGTTTGTATTTAGGTGTTTGTGCGGAATGAGCCTCTTGATCAAGCTTTGGGCGCCTCCCCCACGCTGCCCTGCATCTCACCATCAGTCCCTGGGTGGGTTTGATGGAAACCCTTTCACAGTGGCGATAAATAGGAGAAAGGCAAAGGAACTCTTAGCCTCAGATTCATCCGTTACTTTTTTTCTTCACTTTCTACAAACACGCATTAAGTACCCGCTCTGTGCCAGGCCCGTGCTGCACACTTGTGTCTCACAGAGGAGTGGCGCCTGTGCCCTTGACTGTCTCATAGTGAGAGGAGACCCTGACGCCTGAATAATAAATGCTAATGAAGAAAGTAGGGCCCGCAAGAGTGCTGCTTTTTAGGTTTAAAAAACACCAGATCCTGCACAGATTAAAAGAAGGGCTTTCCGCTGATGAGAGTGTCTAAGCTTTACGTGTCTTGCTTTTTCTGGTTTTCTTGGGACCGCAGGACCCCACTTCCCTGTTTGGTAAGTTGTGTAATGGTGCGAGTTACTGATACCTTCTTTTCTAAAGTGCATGGAACTCAGAACCATTTATTGCCTGGAAGGATTTGGTTCTTATGAATCTGTGTGCCTCTCTGTGAAATGCTTGATGTACTGGCAGCGATCATGTCCTGAGATCCATCATGTTGAGGGTGGACTCGGTTCTCGCAGAAGTTAGTGGCTAGCACGTCCCAGGAGATGAATCATCTCTGGGTGGAGCCACAGACTCCTCCTGTGTAGCTGGTTTAAAAGGTGAGAAGAGGTTTTCACTTGCAGAGCACTTTCTCGTGTTCACACGTGGGTATGTCTTCTCTGGGAGTTGTTCCCGTTTTACTGCTGTTGTAGGAAAGTGCTTCCTGGTTTTTCTTCACTTTTCTCATACAGGGGTGACACTTTCTGTGCCCCTGAAATCCCCTTTCGCTGAATACGTTGGCACCTCGACATTTCTCATGGCCTGTACACATCTTGGGAGGAAGTAGAGTTGATTGTCAGGGGATAGATTTAGCGGAAACTCCCCCTGGAGTTTGCAGGGTGTGCAGAGGTGTCTGGCACCCTAGCCCTCTGCCCGATGAGAGAGGAGGAGTGTGACAGGAGCTGGGGGTGGAGGCTGGGCTGCGGAAGGGGATCCAGCAGAGAGTCGCAGGCTTGCCTCAGAGCCTGGGCTGAGGTGGGCTCCTGGGACAGGCCAAGGGGGGAACAACCGTCCGTACTGGTCTGGTGGTGCTTCAGTGCCCGACTAAAGTCTGGGAGCTGTCAGAGCAGGATTTTCCCACCTGCGGGGAGTGAGGAGAAATGAGGAGGTTTGGGTACGTGCGTGCCTGCCTCTCCACCCCTGTGTGTATGGGTGTCATTACCTGAAAATTTAACTCCTTTTTCCTTAGGAAGAATTTCTTTTACTCTGAGCCTCTGGCCTTTCTACATTTTTGTTTTTAATTTTTTTCTTTTTGAAATGATAGTAAAAGAAGATAGGAGGGCTGTACGTTAAATGGCGTAGTGATGCGAGTTACTGGTATCTTCTAACGTGCGTCAGACTTTGGTTGTTGCTTTTAAGTGTCTTTGTTTTCTTAACACTGTGAGTCTCCCAAATGCCTGAAATTTTACTGGTCCGTGAAATCCAGAATTCTGGGAAAGCTGAGTCTCTTTTCATACTCCTCCAAGCTTCTGGATGTTTCTGTGCACTATGTGACAGTGTGGGCGTGTGTTTTGAGGGGGGAGGAGAGGTTGCCGGGTGATTGCTGCTCATGGGGCTTCCTGCCTCGGCCTGGGTACACACACATGGGGTCCGGACTCCTGCAGAACGGGCTTCCCCCATCGTGTAGGCAGAATCCCCAGGGGACGTGCTGCACAGAACCATTTGTTTTAGAGAACTCATCACCGTGGGCAACCCCTAGATACAGAGGTGCCGGTTCATTGCATGTAAGCTGTTGTGGAGATGAGACTACAGACTTGGAATTCTTTGAAATGTAATTGGCCAACATTGCCTAAAAAACATCTGCCTCTGTATGAAACAAGAGGGAACATCTTTCAGCTGGGAACTGTGTGACTGTTACACCTCCATTCTTTTTTTTTTTCGCATTTTTAAAAAATGGAACAATGTTTTACAATGTGTGTCAATTTCTGGTGTACAACATAGTGTTTTGGTCATAGGCGTACATATTTGTTTTCATGTTCTTTTTCATTGTAGGTTACTACAAGATACTGACTATAATTCCTTTTGCTATACAGTAGAAACATGTTTATCTATTTTATATATAGTAGTTAGTATCTGTAAATCTCAAACTCCCAATTTATCCCTTCTCACCCCTCTTTCTGCCTGGTAACCCTAAGTTAGTTTTCTATATCTATGAGTCTTTCTGTTCTGTAAATAAGTTCATTTGTGTCTTTTTTTTAGATTCCACGTATGAATGGTATCATGCGGTATTTTTCTTTCTCTTCCTGACTTACTTCACTTAGAATGACAATCTCCAGGTCCATCCATGTGGCTTCAAGTGGCATTATTTTCTTATTTTTTTATGGCTGAATGGTATTCCGTTGCATAAATATACCACATCTTTATCCAGTCATCTGTTGATAGGCATTTAGGTTGTTTTCCATGTCTTGTCTATTATAAATAGTGCTGCTGTGAACATTGGGGTGCATGGCATGTATCTTCTAGAATTAGAGCTCTCTCCAGATATATGCCCAGGAATGGGATTGCTGGGTCATGTGGTAAGTCTATTTTTAGTTTTTTGAGGAATCTCCATACTTTTTCCATAGTGACTACACCAAACTATGTTCCCAACAACATATACTTTGGTTCTTAATGGTTCAATTTTATGGCTTCTTCTAGAAAAGGGGGACATAATGGAAGATCTTAGCCCTCCCACTCCCCCCCCAAATTCAAGAGCTGATTGAGCATCCAGGGGGAGGGAGGCTCTTGCTGTCACAGTGCACGTCTGACGGTGGATATTGAAAATCTAGGAGCCCCCGGTTCAGAAGGTGATGTACACACTTGAAAGAGAGTCAGACAGCCACTGGGAAAGAATGAGAGTCCCTTTTCATTTGGAGTTTTAGCCTTTTAAAGATATGTAATACAAAGTTCTTTCCATTTGAGGGCAGAGGTTTCTCAGCTCCAGGCTCCAGGAGGACTTCGGGGGTAGCTGTGAATAACATGGGGCTTCTGGTCCAGCAGCCCTGGGTTTGAATCCCCATTTTCCTTAACTGCATGATTTAGGCAAGTCATTTGAATTCTCTGGGCCTGCCTTCTCAGCCAGCAAGTGGAAATAACAGCAGAATCTTCCTTGCAGGGTGGCTGCGAAGATTCAATGAGATAATGTTTATAAAAGGTCTAGCACAGTGTTTGACCTGGAGCAGAAGCTCAAAACATGGTAGCAAGAATTATTACAACCAGTCATCATAATAGCCTAGAAATGGAGGTTGTAGTAAACCACAATATCACTAGTGGTGGTATTATTTTCTGGTATAAACTTTCTTTTTTTTAAATTGCAGTACAGTTGATTTACAGTGTTTCAGATGTAAAAGTGATTAACTTGAACATATATATATATATAAATCTATTGTGTTTCACATTCTTTTCCATTATAGGTTATTATAAGATGTTGATTATAGTTCCCTGTGCTATACAGTAAGACTTTGCTGGTTATCTATTTTATTTTCTTTTTTTAACATTTTTTATTGATTCATAATCATTTTACAGTGTTGTGTCAAATTCCAGTGTTCAGCACAATTTTTCAGTCATTCATGGACATATACACACTCATTGTCACATTTTTTTTCTCTTTGAGTTATCATAACATTTTGTGTATATTTCCCTGTGCTATACAGTGTAATCTTGTTTATCTATTCTACAATTTTGAAATCCCAGTCTGTCCCTTCCCACCCTCCACCCCCCTGGCAACCACAAGTCTGTATTCTCTGTCTGTGAGTCTATTTCTGTCCTGTATTTATGCTTTGTTTTTGTTTGTTTGTTTTTGTTTTTGTTTTTTAGATTCCACATATGAGTGATTTCATATGGTATTTTTCTTTCTCTTTCTGGCTTACTTCACTTAGAATGACATTCTCTAGGAGCATCCATGTTGCTGCAAATGGCATTATGTTGTCAGTTTTATGGCTGAGTAGTATTCCATTGTAG